GGAACTTTTTCAATCTTATTCTCTCTCCTCCTCTGTCTTTCTCCATCAATAAATATAGATTATATATGATTTTCTTTTTAAAGTTAACATACAATGTAACAGTTTTCCCTGTGTCATTTTCACACATGGTTTTGTTTGGACCACCTCCATCTTAACTCCTCTCCACTCTCTGTTTTCCCTCCGTGCTTGCATCATTTGTCCCCAGCAGTATTTCCCCTTTTCTTTTCTTATCACATGTGCTATATTACCCTTCCCACTGTTCTCCCTAAAAGCATATTTTCCCCTTCATAGGATCATTTCTAGTTTTCTTGCATTTATATTTACTCACACTCATGTAGATATAAAAATATTAGAAGCTAGGACACACATATAAAAGAAGACATATTACATTTAATTTTCTGAGTCCCCAGACTTCGAGTTCCATTGAGCGCCCTGTATACTCTATAATTTTGTTTTCCTTTATGGCCGACTAAAATTCCATTATAGGTATGTACTACTTTTTTATTATTCTTTCATTTGTGGGCAAATGTCTAAGCTAATTCTGTTTTTTAGATACTGTGAATAGAGCAACAATGAAAATGTATGTGTATATACCCCTGGTACAGAATATAAGCACTGGGTTATATGGTAGTTCCAATTGTAGTGCCTTTTCTTTGATCAAAAATTTCTGTGGCCCTGAAGGCATGAGTTTCTTCATGCCTAATAAACACTGAAGTGGAAAGAGTATAGAGGTGTTATCAAATTTACTGTCCTGTCTCAAAACAGGATTATGACACTCTCTCTCACATGAATGGGTACTGTTTATTTCTAGAAATATTCAGTAAAGAGATCAAAAACTGCATAGCAAAACTCTTCCTTTTATCAAACCCCCTCTTGTCCACTATGATTTAAACCACTTGCTTTTGTTTTGTTTTAATAGAAAGAAAAAGGTAACTACTTGCACTCTGGTTCAATATGGCAAAGAGAACACATGAAAAATCCCTTGGTTCTTTTCCACATGAAGAACTATGATGCTACAAAGCTAAAAGAAAAAAAATGAAAATTTTAAAAGTAAGAAAAAAACCCCTCAGGAATAAAGTGAAATATTTTGTGGAATATGTAGAAGAGTACAGTAATGATTTAGTGCCAAATTAAATGGTCAGCTGGCTGGTGGGACAACATACAGATGGGTTTGGCTACACAGCCAAACACGGAATTATAGTCTGCACATGGCTTCTTTGTGATGCTGTGTTATGGTTTGCATCTGTAATGTCCCGTAACACCTAATGTTGACGGCTTAGGTGCCAATATGTTGCACTATTAAGATGTGGGGCCTAGTGGAAAGAAGATAGATCTTGGTATGGGGACATTTCCTTGACGGAAATATTGAAACCCTCATCTCTGTCTATCCTCTTTCTCCCTGCCTGATTGCCTGCCTGATTCTGCATAAGCAAATTATTTCACTCACTACTTCCCATCATGCTAGGATTCATAAGTCCAAAAGCAACACAGTCAAATGACCCTGGACTGAAACCTCTAAAAAGGTGAGCCAAAATAAGTCTTTTTCTTTTCAGTTAATATGAGTTTTCTAACATTAATTGTCATAAAAATATAAATGTGACTAGCATGGCTAGGGACCAGGGTCCCATGTCTTACATCTAAAATGGCTCCAGCATAATTCTACCCACACTGTGTTGTTCCTCCAAATAAACTGATTATCCAAGGTTGCCAGTTGTAGTTGAGGTCTTACTTCAAGAACATTATGAAGGAATAGTACTCCAAATTAAAACAAAAGTAGAAATAAAATGTCAAGGCAAGAAAAATGTCAAAAGGCCTGAAGAATAACTTGTGAATGAGTAAAGGGCTCATTCAAGATAAAAATCTCATGGAGAATAAGCTTTTAAACAATATCTAGAAAAAGAAAAATTTGGAACTAAGACAAGCTATCAAGAAACTGCAAAAAGTCAGAATTCATATCTGAAAAAACAATAAATATTTCAACCTAGAGAAAATTTCAAATACTTAAAACAACAAAACAAAAAAGAGTAAATCCCAAGAAATTATAACAGGTTTACAAAATAACATGTCAATATTTAAAAATAAAATTTGAGCTGGGTGTTGGTATCACAAGCTTTTAATCCCAGCACTGGAGAGGCAGAGGCAGGCAGATCTCTGTGAGTTCAAGGCCAACCTGGTCTCCAGAGCGAGTGCCAGGATAGGCTCCAAAGCTACACAGAGAAACACTGTCTTGAAAAACCAAAATAAATAAATAAATAAAAATTTGAAAACTTGAAAGAAAATACAGTTATTGAAGATAAGATAAATAAAACTTAACAGATTCTCTAAATAGTACATCTGAAAGGAATTTATAAACTATACAATGGAATTGATGAAGTATCACTGTGGGAAATATGTGAAATAAAAAGGCAAGGGAGACATCAGGAGACACAGAGGACAAATTAAATGAGGTGCAAAAATACACATGAAAGAGACTTTATAGCACTGTGGAGGCTGAGACAGGAGGACTAGGAAGGCCATTGTGGGATATACACAGAGAGATTCAACAACAAGAAACTAAGATAATGAAATGTTTCTGAACCTTTGGGTTGCAACCCTCACCCACAAGGGTCACATATCAGATATCCTGCATGTCATATTTTTGCATTATGATTCATGACAGTAGCAAAATTATAGTTATGAAGTAGCAATGAAATAACTTTATGCTTTGGAGTCACTACAACATGAGGAACTGCATTAAAAGGTCAGACTACTAGGAAGGTTGAGAAACACTGATGTAGGGGAAATGATAACTTTTACAAAATGATAACTGACAAATAGATTTATAAGTACTTAGGCTAAAAACCAACCATACCACTGGACATGCACACCTTTAATCCTGGTACTAGGGAGTCAGAGGCAGGTGGATCTCTATGATCTACATAGTGATTTGCAGGATGGCCAGGGTGATGTAGAGAGACCCTGTCTCAAAAACAAAACACCAAAAAGCAATCATACCAAACAGGCTAAAGTAAACTAAGTTATAAATAAACACATTTTAGTATGTTCATCAAAGTAAAAGAGAAAACCTTTCTAGATGAAGGAAATAAAAGGCTCTAAAACAGAAGTAAAATCAAATCGTTCAATTTTTTTGTCCACAAACAAAAGAAGACAGGAATCCATGTATAAATAACTTCAAAGTGCTGAGGGAAAAGGAGCAGGTGCCTAAAATTTTATACCCAGTCAAACTATCATTCAAGAAAAACATCAGATATTTTGCATGTAAGGATTACAGAAATTTGGCACAACTACTCACAGAAATAGCTTGCACAATGAAGAAGAAATACTAACTTTCTCAGAAGTAAACTGCAAGAACAAGGAAAGGAAAAACAAAGCTTGTTTCTGGGTACCTTTTCTCTCTGGTGATTTTTTTATCTCAATTCTCTTAACCCTTCTCCTTTCTCTTAGAATAGCTGCTAGCCTCTACTTTCCATTTTTTGTCAATAATTGTGTTCTACCAATGAGCCACAATTTAAGAAGTTGTGCTTCAGTTAAGTTCCTATTACATTAAGCCACTTTGTGAGACTTCTTATTTTAAGATTTTATTTATTTATTTTGCATACAACATGTTGCTTCCATGTATGTCTGCACACCAGAAGAGGGCACCAGATCTCGTAACAGATGGTTGTGAGCCACCATGTGGTTGCTGGGATTTGAACTCAGGACCTCTGGAAGAGCAACCAGTGCTGTTAACCTCTGAGCCATCTCTCCAGCCCGTGAGACTTCTTAGAGAGATTTTTACAATGATTTAGTAGGCTATCTGGTAGATTAAAGAAAAGACCTCCAGAATAGCCATTTAATTAGAAATTCTACTCTCTCATTTACAAGAGCATCTTGTGTATTATACCCTTTCAATCCAGCTCAAACAGAAGCAAATGAACACATTCAAAAAACAGGAAGCCCATGTAGGAACTCTGTAAAGTAACTTCCCGATTGGTCAATTCCTCATCTCTTGAAGCTTATTCTATCATCAATGGCATTCAAAGTGATAGATTTGTGTGTAATATTTTGTCACCTGGGAAAAAGAATGATTATGTTTGTTGGACTGTACCTACTAGGACAGAAGAGCATACTTTATAAAGTAATATCAATAAAGCAGCACACAGTAAACTGAAATCCTGCAATTAAGTTTGAAGAGTTCTCTTACTTCCAAAAGTTCAATCAGTAACCTGGACCTCAACAATTCTTCTGTTTTGCAGTGTAACCTAGAGGGTAGTAAGGTCTTGACTTTGCGGATCTCAAGACTGTTAGATAAGTGTCCCTTGGAATGCCATTGCTGACAGGCATTCTTTGAATTTCCCCATGGTGCAAGAACTAGGCCCAATTCATTTCAGAATAAAGTGTAATGGAGAGGGTTTATACCTCAGAAAAATTCCCTTAGCACACACCATGAAAGTAGCCTTCCTAACAACCTTGAGAAAAAGTCTCTAGTTGGCTCTCCCCAGACTTACTCTTAACAGTGTGTACCTAATAACTGTGCAGTGTGGAGGAGGTGACTGTTCAGCAGGCAGGCAGCTTTATACTGTTATAAACCTTACTGGTTCAGTTCCTTTGATTTATGAACAGCTCTTCATCATTTTGAAGCTATGCTTGGATGCAATTCCAGCACTAATTGTATAGGACACGTGCCACAATGATACAACCCCCCTGTTACCCACTGACCATGGCAGAAAGAGGCTGTTTATAGCTATAATTCCTTTTTCCCATTTTATTCCCTTTCAAATGATTAAAAGCCCAATGAAAAATCTGTTACTGGGTACCCAATAACATATTAGAACCCAGAATGTGTCCCATTTGGGCTACAATGTGTATTTAGGGGGCCAGCTTAAGTTGTCTAAAGGTGTTCTATTGTTATTTCTGACTGGAAGTTTCCTTTCTGGATGAGTTTAGAAAGATTAGCCAGGTTAGGTGAAGAGGGAAAACAGAGACACACAGCTTGGAGAAACAGAGGCAAACTGGATTACCTGGGCAACGGGGGCAACACAGATGAGGAATATGCACGGGTGAGAGGCAATGAAGACTTGGACATCTGACTCGGCTACAAAGCACATTCCCATTCTGAAAGAGATGGCAGAAAAAGAGAAGAAGAAATGTCTTTCAAAGGTCACTGGGATTCTGCCAGTTTGGGAAACAGTCATGAAGGGACTCACCCAGACAGTGAATAATGCATTCCCAAGAATCGGAGTGCAATCATCCTGCTTTTAAAATAAACCTCCTTTTCTCACTCTTACCACCTCTGCTGGGTTGATTGGAAGCATATCAGCATACTTTTTCTGAGACTGGGTTCAACACAGTCCCGGTTTTCAAAGCCTCCCATTAAGTATGGGAGTCTTCCTCTGGCCTGGCTCTGTGTTAGTTCTACCCTTCCCAATTCTAGCTGCATGGCCTTTTCAAGAGTCTATTCTGATTTCATAACCACCTGCCTGATGCCATGGAAGAGAAGGGGTGGTGAGTAATAGGTCCCTTGAGAGCTGCTTCTCAGCCCTGGCACAGAGACATCCCTAGCATGTGAGTCCTTGGCCTCTACAAAACTAACTGCCTTGATTCAGTAGGCTGCGTGACTCCTCTCCTCATTTCCCTTTTCAGCCAACATTTGTTTCTGAGAACAAGCTAGAACTAGAAATTGAGCTGATCAGCTAGTGTGTCTGGATGAGGCAACCTGGTTCCTGTATGACTTAAGAGATACATGATCCCAACTCTGACAGCTCTCAGTCATTGCCAGAACAAAGCAAGCATTGGAAATACGTTTTACATTTACATTTCCCATCCATAATTCATCTAAATGAAGGGCGACTTGCATCTATCAGGTTGTTACAGGGTAAAGGGTGGTAAAGTGCACAGAGAAAGAGTATGCCTAGTGTGTAAGCTGTTGGCATCGGGATCATGTTAACATTTTCACTGCCTTGTGGACTTCAAAGCCTCGGCCCCCAAGGGCTAGCTGTCCATCTCCAATGTACTGAGTCAAGAATCTGACAAAATAATGCCATACCAGGCAGTTAATCAGCCCCCAGATGCTCTGTTTAATGCAAGCCCTAGTCATTTAAAGAGGCAGGCTTCTTTTATCCAGTCTGGAGTCACCTTACCACAACTCTTTTTTTCTTCTCATGCGCTTTCTAGAATAAAGTCTTGTAATGTTTCATTTGGAAACAGCAGAGAGGCTCTTAATGCACCACACTCCTCAGAGTCGGGTAGTAGCATACAGAGATGAGCTCAGAAGCACATGAGAAAGCATAGTTCTGGTTGAGAAGAAAACTCCATCATTAATGTTGTATACTGAATTCTCTTCTAGACTCCAGAGATCAATAAGAGCACTGATAACCAGAAGGATAATGATGACTACAGCAGTTAACACTTCTTACTCAGACATTGTTTTAGATGAATTAGTGAATTTAATCCTTACTACAACATATAACATGGGTAATATCATTATGTCTTTTTTTTTTTGAGACAGGTAGACTCAAACTCCTGATCCTCCTGATTCAGCCTCCTGAGTGAGGGGATCCACAGGCTTGCTCCACCATGCCAGGCATTGGTAAAATATCCAACATACCATGTACCACAGGTTGCCTACTTTAGAGTCTGAAAAAAACTGTCTACCTTGAAGCTAAAACTCCATAAACCCTGAATAAAACTGTGATTATAATACCCGGAGGGTGTTTTATACATGGTAAAAATTTGAAAAGCCGGAAGTTCTGTTCAAATGGCAAAAGAGCAGGCCTGTGTGTGACTGTGCCTGCTCTAGCTTGGCACATGACAGGCGTTCCATGCAGCCCTTGTTCATTCTATGCATGCAGCATTCTCAGTTTTTTAAAGATTTTGATGAGGCTTTCCTCCCCAAATGGATTAATGATGTGGTTTTCATCAAGGCAAATAAACATGTCTGGAGACATTATTTATTGCCACAATAGGGGTTGCTTCTACTGTCATCTAGAGGGTCGATTATTTTTCCTACTATATTATTCTTTTATCTTCTCCAATTATGTCCCCTATACTTAGTCCAAAAGGCTACAGAAATTTATTTATAGTAAATATTCAGAGATTTTAAGAAAAAAACAAACCAAATTTTAACAGGGGAAAGAAGCAGGTGAGATATTTCTTGCAATCTCGTCCCCATTCTTTTCCCCAGCTCTCTCTAAAGTGAATCTCAAATTTTCTCTGTAACCAAGAATGCTCATTCTACTCATTCTCCTGCCTGTACTTCGTGTGTGCTGAGATAATAGACATGTGCCATGACACCTGCGAGTTTACTAATATCTTCTAGGTTTTTAATCACCTAGGTTCCCTGCCAAATGAGCATTGATAACCCCCCTGTGTGCTAAGGAATGGAGTGGGAAATCCTATGCCATAAAGCATTATACCTCTGTGCAGATGCAGTTCACACAGTAAACCAGTCCATAAGGTTCCAGGTAGGGATGCCATTTCTCACCCACTCTATACTTCTTGTCTTGAAACACACAATATGTTTCTGAATCTGTTTAAAAGGGGGAAAGGGGGAGAACAAAGCTGTCAGAAAATACAGGCCAAGTCCCAAAATCTAAAGACAAATCTTGCATCAATTTTACTATGTACATCAAAGGAAGAGTCATTGCATTTACAGAGTGCCTACTTCTGGCTCAATGTTTTCAGTATTTTCCTTCCTGAATCTTTATAATAACTCATAAATTAGATATTAGTATTAGTCTTACTATATGGATAAAGACAATCAAGAGACATATAACTAGTTAGTAGCTGAGATCACATTCAAACCCAGGTTGATCTGACAGTGGAATTCAAGAATATCAGTTAATGATCTGTTATAATAGCAAGATAAAAAACATATCACTGGCTTTTAAAATTTCCTTTCCAGAGATAAAACAATGAACACTTTGTTTCCATTCAACATACAGATTTTCTTTTTTGCAGATGTTTTTTATTTGAATTAGAAATAAGATTGTTTTACACGTCAATTCCAGTTCCCTCTTCCTCCCCTCTTCCCCTACCACCCCCCCCCAACTACAAACCTACCTATCACATATCCTTTCTGCTCCACCTGGAGGGTGAGGCCTTCCATAGGGTGTCATTAGAGTCTATCGTATCTTTTGGGATAGGGCCTTGGCCCACCCCTGTGTGTCTTGGCTCAGGGAGTATCCCTTTTTGTGGGATGGGCTCCCAAAGTCCACACCTGTGCTAGGGATAAGTTCTGAACTTCTACAGAAGGTCTGGTAGATTTCCGAGGTCTCCTCATTGAAATCCATGTTCCTGGGGTCTGGATCAGTCCCATGCTGGTACCCCAGCTATCAGTCTGGGGACCAAGAGCGCCCTGATATTCAGGTCAGCTGTTTCTGTCAACATACATATTTTCTTAAGCATAAACAACCTTTCAGTTAGTTCAAATAATATTCTTTTCTTCTTTGGAATGAACTTATTTTACAGGGCTGGAGACATACCTTTGCAGATAAGACTACTGCCTATTCTAGAGAACCTGGATTCAATTCACAGTCCCAACGTGGCAGTTCAAACCATCCATAGCTCCATTTCTAAGCAATCTGATACCCTTTTTCGGCCTCTGCAGGCAACAGGTACACATGTGGTACAAGGCATACATGCAGGCAAAATACCCATACCCATCAAATAATACATTTAACAATTTTAAAATAAAATTTAGATAGACAAATTTGTTTGCTTTTATTGTATGTGCATGTGTGTCTTGTCTACATGCTTTTCTGTTCACTACATGCATGCCAGTGCTCATGGAAGCCAGAAGAGGATGTTGAGTCCCCTGGAACTGGAGGTAGAGATGTCTGTGATCTGCCATGTTGGGGCTGTGAACTGAATATGGGTCCTCTGTAAAAACAAGTGTTCTTAACCACTGAGTCATCTCTCCAGACCTTAAAACTATTTTTTTGAGACATGGTTTCTTTGTGTAGCTTTGGAGCCTATCCTGGCACTTGCTCTGAGAGCAGGCTGGCTTCAAACTCACATGCCACCTGTCAAAGTGGGCCCAGAGACCCTCACAGTCTACACTAAGGCTATTGCTAAGGCTACTGGTTACTCACCACAACCTGATAGTAATGCCCTGTTGCTGAAGACACCACACACTTACGTAATCCAACACAGAAAAATCAAGCTGATTCCCAACTATAAGCATCACCCTGTTGACTAGCATTTATGGTGCTGGCAGGTATGTATGCTACCAGAGGACAAATATAATTATCAATATTAACCAATTATGGATCCCATGGCAAATGGGGCTTATGTTGGAAATTGAAGGATACTTCCTCATTCACAGTTCATTGATGTAATTCACTGTGTTTACAAACCAAAGGTAGGGCTTATCATTGTTGAAAAAGATTTAGAACCTGAATCTGACAAAATGCTACATTCAGCTATGGCTGAAACTCATAGCAAACTGGGAAGAAAATCTTCTTATCCTCATACATGGCATCTGAAAACAAAAGCAAAAAAATCTGTAGATGATAAACTTCCTCCATGGCAAAAGACTGAATTATTTTTCCCCAGTAGTGAGAATTATATGATGATGCCTGTTTTTCCAATGTTAGCCAGAGAAAGCAGGTCCAAAACGTTTTATGTACTACACAGCAAAAAGTAAAGTATTTACAGATGTCATTATTTTCTCTAAAGAAAACACACCAATCTATTACAATGTTATTATGAATGGTAAGAGAATTTAGCAAGCCTTCAAGATTCAAGACCAACCATATTTACATGTTCTATAATAAAGGGAAATTGAAGTTTGACTGGGGATGGCAGCAGCTCATGCCTGTAAGCATCACACATGAGAAACAATGCAGGATTGAAGTGAGTTCACTTCCAGCGTCTACTACAAAGTAACATCCTGTCTCAGAAATAGAAGAAGGCAAATGAGTTACAATTAGTACATAGAGTATTTAAACAGCTCCTTTCAAAAGATGAACCTTAAACATATGCATGGTTTGCACGAAGACAACTATAATACATTGCTGAAAGAAAAGCAATGAAGGCTTAATGGTCAGACAAATTTATAGTATTTGTAGATTGGAAGACAAAGATTTTTAAGGTCTCCATTGTCCCCAAAGTAAATAACAGATTCCATGCAGAGGTAGATGAATCTCTGGCAGTTCAAGGCCAGCCTGGTCTACATAGTAAGTTCTACACTAGCTAGGGCTACATAGTAATACCCTGTCTTAAAAAAAGTACTATCAGAATTTTATTTTAAGTAAAGATGGGAGTCTATTAATGAATTTATACTGGAAGTAAAAGGAAGTAGAAGAACCAAAACAATTTTGAAGAAGAAAGATATTAGAGATTTAAAATAAAATTACAGTTTTCAAGCTATGTGGTATCAGCAAAAAGTTACAGAAAAATCCATTCAATAAAGAAATAGTGATTTCAACAAATTCAACAAATACTGTGGAATTAAATAGTCTTGCATAATATTTAAAGTCAGTCTTTTCCTATTTCTAATACCACATATAAAAATGATGTGACAGACTTTGATGATCCCCTATCAGTGGCCTCAACCTCTCTGAGGAGTGAATGGAGGGTGGAATGGGGAGATGGTGGGGGGAGTGAGAGGATGGGAAGAAGAGGGAACTGGGATGGGTATGTTAAATAAGATTATTTTTAATTTAAATAAAAATAATAAAAATGAATTTAAAAAGCAGGCATGGTGGATCGTGCCTATAATCCCGGCAGTTGGAAGGCTTAGCAGGAGGATGCTGAGTTTAAGGCTAGTATAGGCAATATAGCAAACCCTGTCTCCAGACAGGTGGGTATGAATGAGGAGGAATTAGACGAGGAGGAAATGCGATCTCAACGTAGGTCATAGCAAAGATGTCAAAACCACATACTAGAGAAAAGACAACAATCTTCAACAAATGGTGCTGGAAAATTTGGAGGGTCCATGTTCTGAAGAACAAAATTCGACCTGTATCTAGTACCCTGCATAAAAATTAACTACAAATGGAGCAAAAACCTTAATGTGCAACCTGAAATACGGTAACTGTTAGAGGAAAGCATTGGCACTACCCTACATGATGTAGGTGCAGGAAAGGATTTTGCCATTAGGGCTCCATTTGCCCAAGAATGAAGGACAACACTTGACAAGTGGGACCTAATAAAAACGCTTCTTTACAACAAAGGGAGCCATGAATTGAGTGAAGAGGAAACCCACAGAATGAGAGAGGATCTTGGCCAGATACATATCTGATGGGGGATTAATATCCAGAATACATAAAGAACTTACATAGAACCATGGTCTCTATAAGAAAAACCCTAGTGCCAGGTATGAGAAACCTCCTTTTGAATTGTTCGTAAGAGAGTCCAAGACACTCCCAAAGCAAAACAGTTACTGTCATTTATTTGCCCTTGGTTCCCTCTCAAAAATCTGAAGGTCAAGTCCATATTGCTAAAGATAACATACAGTTCAAACACAGGACTGGGAGAAACTGAGCTGGAGTTGACCTAGAAGCTTCCTCTCTGAGGATTAGCACTCATAGTGTCACAAGCTGCCAAGGGAGAAAAGCAATCAATATATTCATACCCAGTTGTGATGCTTATAAATCCCAACCACATGAACATTTACATATTCGCAGTAACCAGCAGCTGTCTAATTGGACTTAAGCCTGCTCAATGGGAAGGAAATAATGTCTGGTGCTGTAAACCCAGCCAATTAATTGGTGAGGCCATGGGACCCAGAGGAGAACCCACTATTGCCACTTTCCTAAACCAGCATACACTAATTTCATTCTCAGTACTTACACCTACTACGAAGTGTAGCTCTAACCCCTCATTAAGGAAGCTTCTTTTTTCCTCAGAAGATGGAGACTGCTACAAAAAGCCATAACTGGTTAAAATCATGAGAACCAACTAACCATGGGGTGAACATATCCTAAACTCAAAGCATATCATAAAAAAGGTACCAGAAAGTGTCTATGACCTTGATGGAGGACCAGGATAACTGTTGCAAAAATAGGATCTTCTAGACATGACAGAGGGGTTACACCTATCAAATCTTAACAAAATGGCTTGCACAATGACAACACAGGTTGGCCCAAAGCATTGATACTAGAAATTTCAAAGGACTACACCCCTAGATGAAGGACTACTACTAAGGAGGGAAAATCAGTCTTCCTTAGGGATGATGCCCCTAAGTCAGTGGTTTTCAACTTCCCTAATGCTTTGATACTTTAATACAATTTCTCATGTTATGATTCCCCAACCATAAAATTATTTTCATTGCTAACTGTAATTTTGCTACTGTTATGAATAATAATGGAAAGATCTGTGTTTTCCAATAGTCTTAGGTGACCCCTGTGAAAGGGTCATTTGTCCTCCAAAGATGACTCAACCCACAGTTTGAGAACTGCTGCCCTAAGTGGTTATACAATATCGAGTGGTCAGCCCTAAAAATGTATACATATGAACAACAGATATTGACTCAACTGGTTGTGCTTATATGTGTGTATATACATACACATAAAACAATAATAA